GTCGGTTGAGGAGCGGTAAGACTAAAAGCAACAATCCTAAGGTCCGAAGGCGAAGTCGTACTGCTGACTGTACAGAGATGTGGCAGCAGTAAGGTGTTTCCTTCAGACAACCAGCATGACAGCGATGCTGCCTTCCCACAAGAAGGGGTGGGGTTAGAAAAGGTTGACCCTAAAAATGCACACCTCACCTTATCCCACGGATATCCATCTCTGGCGGTAAGGTCTCAACACGTACGGAGCTAACACAAAAATTACCCGTAAAAAGGTTGTGTGTGACCGACCTCAAGCAGTTGTCCGTTGAGCGCACTGTGGTCACGTTCTCAGGTCACTAAGACCACTTTTCACCCAATTTTCTTTTCAGTTACCTCTAGAAGACTCAAACTCAACTATATGATTATATATTTTATGAGTTTTACAATTTTATGATTAAATAAATAATGTAAGGACCACAATTTGGATAGAGAATAACTTAATGATTTATGTCATTTCGTTAGACTCACATCGACTGTTCATTCTAACTAATATTCAACCGGCTCAGTAGTTGTGAGGTAGTAACTCACTGATGACAATAGTGAATGTGTCGCTCAATTTCGTTGATTAGTTGAAATTAGACATTAACATCGTTGGATGCCGGTTCAGTGGTCTAGTTGGTTAAGCGCCTGGCGCGAGACTGATAGATCCTGGGTTCGAATCCCGCGAGGCGGGGTCGTGGATGCGCGGTGCTGAGGAGTCCCACAATGGGACGAAACGGCCATCCAGTGCCTCCAGGTTTTCCATGGTGGACTAGCTTCAATTGACTCATGATCTCAACTGTTGTAATATTTAAATGTTAAAATTATAAATCTTCTTTAGCATAGATTTTCATAAATGAAATTGGTCAGAAATAAATGTATGAGCATAATGAAGTAAGAAATCTAAAAAAAAAAATTGATCATCAAATGTTATGATTGCATATTTTCTTGAAGGAATCTATACAGTAACTGATACATGTGTAATTAAATGAGTGTTTACATTAATGAACACAAGTTTTTGTTGATAATTAGAAATAAAATTTGCTGATTCACACTTCTAAGGAGTCACATAAAAAAATGGATGTTTCCTAAATTTCACCAGTTATCTAATTAAAATTATTTTGTAATATAAGCTATAAAACAGATAAGTGGATTAACAAACAGGATGATACAATTTTCAGTATTATGATCAGTTTTAAATCACTTCATCTCATTTGACCAGCTTACAAGATACTTTCTCTCGCGTATTATCCAAGTCCACTAGATTACATTTCACCGTCCTGTTCACGTTCTACTGATTCCATGCTTATTTGATACTGTTTCTATCGCCCAATAAGTATATGTCGTTAAGTTGCTTCGTAACTGTATATATTAATAATGAACTGGGTTAATTTCCGAGCTACTGGATCTATTGTTAAATCCAGTATGACATTCCAAACAAACTGTAGGTATATATCTTGGGTCTCTTCTATTCATAAAAATAAATCCAACGGAATTTTTAAAATTATGAATTATTTTCATCATATTTATTTCTCTGGTTTGTAGATTTATTTTTCCCATCCACAACAAACGCAACGACTACACAACGTAAAATTCCTAAAGGTGAAGTACTCGAGGTGATACAAACTCCAAAAGCGAAATATTTACGTATTAGTCGAACTGGTGATTTGTTTATTGTAAAAACCAGTGGAACAACAAATAGTAATTCACTTTCTACTGAAAATAATACTCCTTCTTTGGATGGACAAGAAAGTAATACTGCTACCACTACTACTGACAAACAAATAACGTCCAGTGATACAGTGAATTCAAATACTACTTGTCGAAACTCTTCTAATAATTTACGATCCACAGTCGCTACTGCTACCACTGCTTCTATTACTACTACTACTACTACTAGTTCAGCAGATAATTCTGATATTACACTTCCTGGGACGTTTGGTTCATCGTATGAAAACAATCGACAACATTCTCAGACACTTCAGAAATCATCTTATTCAACAAATAATTCTGATTCTAATATCTCCAGATACAATAATTTGAATAATAAATCAGAAAATAATGTTCCTAATTCGTCTGTGACTTATTCTAACAGTCAACCTTTTAATTATTCTCAGTCATATAATCAGTCTAATACAAATACTTTTCAACCATCTACCAGTGTAGCGAATTCAGCTTCAGATAGTGGTAGGTTAGGTTATTCAAAAGATTCACATTTCTTACAATCTAATGTTTCTCCAAAACGTGCTCATTCATCAAATGAAACGTTTACTTTTGATCCGAGCACCAAAGACTCCCGACAATCCTACGATGCAGAATCGTCTAATTATCAACATCGAATGTTGAACCGGCGTGATACTACTACTACTACTAGTAGTAGTAGTAGTGCTAAAGAAGATCACAATAACACAAGTATAACCTATCCTAATCAAACATTTTCTTCTCAGGATCCTTTCCGAACTCATGTGCAGCGTACACAACAGGTTGAATTGTCTTGGCCATGCTTAACATGCGGACGTACTATTGCCACAGGTTGCACTTGTCGTTTAAATTCATCGAATATAAACACTTCAGTAAGAACTACTATTTCTAGTTCACCGACAAATAGTGATCCGAATGTGCAATCTTCCAGATTTAGACCTTTTACTAACTGTACTACTCCTTCAGAATCATTTCAGTCCGATCATGTTAATAATAAAAAAATTTTTCCATCAGCTGTTAATTATCAAACAACTGTTAGTGTACCGTACTACCAGACACAAAATGTTTCTTCCTCCTCAGCACCATCCTCATCCGCTTTATCATCTGCTCATCGTCAATTACAACAACAACATCAGTATTTACGTACTGCTGAAGATGTTGCACGACAATCGGCCCTGTCTGCTACAGTTTCTAACAACACTAATCCTAGTAATTCTTCATACCAGTCCACTTATCAAAACCCGACACGAATCAACAATATCAATAATGACAGTAGTACTACTAGTGCTACTAATAACAATCATGCCCAACATCTTAATTTATCATCTGGTCATCATCAGGTGAATACTTTACAAAGTCATGTATCTATGATGCAGGACTATTTTACACAATTAACAAATCAACGTCCACAATTATCTCCATCATGTTCATTAGATTTACAACGAGCAGGGTTTGGTGGTGAACAAACTCCATCTCATGCTGTCGCTGCAGCAATGCAACAATATTTAGCTCAAAATAGTCAAAATCATATGAATATCATCAAACAGAATAATAATAATAATAACAGTAATTCTGCACATAATCATCAAACTAGTCCAGAAAGAAATCTATCCAATTTAAGAACATCGTTTGATCCAACTGTACATTATCAACAATTTCAATTGGCTGCTGTTGCTAAAGAACAACAACAACATCAATCTCATCAACAACAATTGTTGTTACAACAACGTCAACAACAACAGCAAAATATTGGTTTTGTTGAACGTAGTCAATCATCGCATCATCATACATTACCAGGCTCGGCTGTTGCTTCTGTATCTTCGTCTCCGGTTGCCGCTGCCGCTGCTTCTTCTTCAATGTTTAATCATTTACATTCACAAGCGTTTCCTAATTTTCATTTTCCACAGTTTTAATTGGATCATCATAATTTATGATGTAATTCTTGGGGTTTTTATGTGGGGGAGGGACAAGATCAATCATTCAATATTTTAATGTTATTTCAATTAGTAGTTCGCCCATTTACTCAATGTGTGTGTGTGTTTGTCATATGCACAACTGAGAATATTCTTTTTACTCGTTTTCCTGTACTTAACTAGACACAATTGTGAAAAAAAATATGTTTTATTGTTGTAAACAAAATGTAACGGTGTTGTTAATTCCTAAAGCCCTCAACCCCCCCTTACCATTTCATAGGGTTCTTTTTTATACATAAATTTCACATTGTTAAACTATCTTTATGAATAGTAAGTATTATGAAAATGAAATAGTAATGACAAGATCATTACAAAAAGAAAGGAGACTATTTTGAATCATTATTTGTAAAGTTATATTCTCTTGTGTATATTTAACACTTTAATAGTTGATTTTTTCAATCTCATAATGTACATACTGTCACTAATACTACTACTCCTCCTACTAATTCGATGTATTATTCAATTTATTTTAAAACTTTATCTTTTCAATGTTCAGAGATTATTCTAAATAGACATGCATATATATGATATATATACATATTGTATTATAAATTGCATGCATAATAAGTTTCCTAATATTGTTTTGTTCTTGAACATTGTCATGGTTTAAACGTTCACTTTCGCATATATATATATATATATATGAATCATTGTACTTTGTCACAATTTGATTGATTTATTTTTCCCATTATTCATCGTTAACAATTGTTTCACTCTAATGATATTTATATATATATTTGTGTGTGTGAGTGTGTGTATCAACCGGTTGTTGATATATGCTACAATACATCAGTTTAGAGTATTGTCCATTTATCATTAATACTTGAAAAAAAAAATCATCATCATCAGTTTCGCTTGAAAGTGTACTTGAGAATTGTCCAATGTTTCAGCCAATTATGTGTGTACATCATCATCATTAGCAGCAGGAGTATCATTACCACTGTTATTACTATGACTATGACTATTGCCATTACATTTGAACAGCATAAATAAATATTTATTTCTTAATTTATTTACTTAATTCATAGTAAATATTGTCTATATTATATATATTTATATTCATATGACAACAAATTGTTTTGATAATTAGGAAGGATAATTATGGATTGTTCAATACCGACATTGTTACTTTTAATTCTTATTATTAACAGCAATATATATACATATATATATACCTCTGTTATTTTATAAAAATAGAAAATTATATATGATGCATTTAATTGTGAACTTTGTTTTTTCCAATCTGTTATGTTGTTGTTTTCAATCTCATAATTCCTAATGATCGGCAATGTTTTCACCTATACCTATATGTGTTTGTCTGTGTGTGTGTGTGTGTGTGTTTGTAAACTCATTGAGTTTTAGTAGTTGGGCAAAAACTGATCTCTATTTTGTCAATATTTTTTTAATTCATAGTTTTATGTTCTTTCTGAGATGCTAATATGATTTGTTCATATGTATGTTGGTGAGTTATTGTAAAACAATTCATGTGACCAAACAGGTTTAAAAATGGTCACCGGTTATTTACCTACTAATTATTTCCAATCTACATTTAGTCTATAAAATTAGTACTTTGTGTAGAAATATCTTGATGAAAATTCTCCAAACTCTGTTAAAACTTGTTTGTGATTTAAGGCAGTAGTTAGAGGTAGTCGACATGATACCGTGGACCTAGGTTTCGTGCTGTTTAGAGCTCACCAACACCAAGGTGTATCTGTGATCTTCAGGAATTGATGCTTTCCGGTGGATTCAATTTTGTGTCACCCAGCTTCACAGTCAGAGACGTTACTACTTGCTCATCCGGGCCATTTCTGACCTCTCTTAGGACTTAAATGTATTTACAATTCAATAATCACTTGGTAGTGACCCATATTGCTTTCCTTTCAAATGCAATGTGTTATTTCAGGACTACTGGTCAGCATCGATTTCTAGCAACACCATAGTGAATGATGTAGTTCAGCTCATTAATAACTTCACTTATTTTGGAATTTTCATCTTTCTGAAATGCTAATATGATTTTTTCATATTTATGTTGGTGAGTTATTGTAAAACAAATCATTTATATTGGAATTTTCATTAGCCCTGGTGAGTTGTTTCATAGAATTCCCTTCTATATTACTTTAAGGTTGTAAAATGTTCCTTATTGAAGTAGACAATAAACATGGACTGGAAGTATTCTATCATAACTATCTTCGAGGCATATGGTTGAACCATCAAATAAATGATTCTGGGAGTAAGCGCATGGTACTAGAACAGTGATATAGCTAAAATACTTCATTGATTAGATTGGTTAAAATACGTATTACATATGCCCGATCTCTGCTTAAACGCACAATACTTTCCGACTTGTGATTAGGTTAGAAAGCAGTAAGGATGGATAAGTCGAGATATGGGGTTAGTTCACTAAGTCATTGACCTTTGATCTAAATTATTTTGGTCAGTAAGAGTTTTCTAAGTAGAGATCACTTAGTATTAGTAATTAGTGGTTAGATATGCTGTTCGATAATATAAAATCTCTCTGTGAATCAATTGCATTTATTCTTTCCTTATCTAAATCTTGATTTAAATACCATTTCTATCTTTGATATTGGTAATTCTCATGTTTAAACTTTTATTGCTTTTGACATTGTTTCTCATCTTGCTTTTTCCTTTCGATACATTGATATGATATTTGATAATTTGTACTGGAACATAAACATCTGATCTTATGTCGTTCTTCCATTGACACTATTTTTTCTAAAGAAGTTAAAATGCGTATAGTTAGATTGTCATACAAGTTTACTTATTTCTTCAATTTTATAGCATGTTTTTTAAATTACTTTTAACAGCAAAATTAACTTTGACTACTGACTAACTAAAAATAATTAGAAGTTAAGGGTGGCCAAACCAAAACGTGGCATCAATCTTTAAAGTCACTAGCTTCTAGTCTTAGCCATGTTGGTAGATGCAGACTGCTTGGTTGGAGTTCGCGTGACTATCGTAAACAGTGGTTGGAGGATCTGGGTGACATGACTCGAAATCGATCACAGTAGCGTAGGTGTATACACTCGTTGTCCTCCCTTAAACCGTGAAATTGAAATTGCTTTATATCTTTCTTTCTACGAACTAATTCTTTCTACCTGTATCATATCCTTATATGCAATCTTTTTTTACTACCATTGAACTATCTATATGAATTTAGTGTTCATCTTGTTTTGCTAATGAGGTGTGGCAACTTAGACTGATGTATATATATATGCCTGAATCCTACGTTGTAGCTGACTGAGTAAAATTAACATTTTCCGTTAATTTATTAATTTTCATATTGTAATTAATATTATAATTACTTATTTTGACAACGATAAAAACAGTATTCAGTGAATATTCGTTACACCAAATATTGTTCGTAGTGTTCTATCAGTTTGTTTTTAAGTAATAAAAGTATTATGTCTTTTGCTTATTGTTATTGATTGGATATTCATGTTTAATTATCGTCTGATAAACCTTTTTGTTCGTTCTACTTCGTTTTTTGTATTTTTACAATAATGAATTTTTCGGGGTGTTGTCCACAGAATTGAGAGGACGAAAAGCGAATGTCCGGCGCTTTAACCGGATTCCAAACAAATGGTGCACATGGGCTCCAGTATCCTGAGGGAACAAATGGTGTATGAACCAATTGTGGGTCACCGGCTTCGATGGGACTGCATCTCCTTACGATGCCTTAATGCCTTGTGGATCAGACCTTCATGTCGAAGGCTCGGGGTGTGTCCCTCTAAGAAAATCACCTGCTTCAGTTTGGGCACCCGGGCAGTATCACAGCCCTCGCACATATCAAATGAGATATGTGTGGCGCATATGTATTTGGTGCCTCCTTATACCAATATCTGTGTTAAACTAAATAAATAAATAAATATTTCGTAGTAGACTTTTAATTAATGATTGTTAGTTTATCACTATAAACTGAACTATGTTAGAATACTCCTAATCTCAAACAGTAATACATTGATTAATACGCATCATTAAGCGTACTTTATGAATTTAGGAATCATTCAATAGGATCAACCTGATTTCTTGTTCACTTTTATCTCTAACTAACAGTTGAAACTATCACGAATAAAGGAAAGCACTTTATGTTTCGATTACCTTTTTATAGGTATCGTTAGAAACAAATAATCAACTATAGACTTTTCAAACTACTATTACCTCTATTAATGTTACATAGTACATTCTCCTTCTCTCTCTCTTTCTGATATTAAATCACTCATCAATTTTCTGTTCTGCGTTTTCTGAAATAAAGTTTACTTCTGATAATTGGAGTTATATAAGCGGTGACTTACGTAACAATTTGTATCAACGTCTTAAAATAACCCATTTAACACTAGTTCTTTAAATATTCACGTAGATTTCCTGGCTATACATACATTTACCTCTTCATCATTCCTTTTCAGTTCTGTAGATGTATATACTTCATTGCTTCCTCGTTGAAAGTTTATTGCAGTTTGGGTGTATATACATATATATATATATACTGTCTTCTTTTGTTAATAGTAACCTATATACTTTCAAGCACAAATCTCTTCATAAAATACATTGCTTATCTCTAAATTTTGCAAAATTTATTTTTTACATTTTTAGCTTGTGTAGTTATCATAAAATAGAGATACTTTATTGAATGAAATAAATGCTTGAAACCGTTTTTAAATTGTTATTGATATGATGTTAATCAAATTATCATTTGCTGATTCACATCTTCAGTAAATCACGAGAAAGACCAGTTCCTGGTCGACAATTCTGTTTTAATACATAGCATCGTCTACTGAAACTGTGGTTGTTAACTTGATATGGTGGCTGGGTCTTCATATCATTACGACCACATAGCCTGAAATATTGGCTCTTTTATTTTGGTTGGAGAGTGGTAAACGGAAAAACAACAAGCCCTTAGTTCGAGGGCGAAGCAGTACAGCCAATTATACTGGGATGTAATGGGAGTTAATTATTTCCCTCAGATAACCTGCATCCACAGTCGTATTGTTCTACAACTGTATGAGAGAGCCTAAAATTAACACTCGTTCTTATCCCACGGATTTCCATTTCTAGAAATAAGATCCTAAAAGTATGGGATTAATTCATATAAAATTGTTTAAAAGAGACTGTGCGACTTTTCCAAAGCAGTTGTTCTTTGGATATTACGGTCATCGTGTCAGGTTGTCAAGATCGTTCTTAAGCTAGTTTCCTTTTCAGGCACCTCAGGAAGTATATTTTCATCTTATGTACAACCGGGAAGTAACGACCGCTATCATATATATAGTACATTCTTCTTTTGTGATTTTATTGTTGTTACTGTAGTTTTGTTTATTTAAATTACCGCGATTGATAGATATGAAAACATAGAACAAACATATCTTTTTCTTGTTTATAGTAATATGCCTATAGAACAATTATTAGTTCAATCTATTGATGAACTTGCTAGTCAAATTGAATTAGCTCATCAAAATGGGCGTCATGTGTTCGTTTATTTTTCTGGTTCAACTGATATGAACACTGGGGATAGTTGGTCGGAGGATTGTTGTAAATGTAAGTTTTATATTGAATATGTAATTCAAAGATACTTTTTATTTTATCTGTCATAGGTGTATTTATTTTTCTGTTTAAATGTTTTGTTCCAATTTCCTTAAACAACTCATGAGGTTTTGTTCTGTTATAGTCGTTCTTTTAACGAGACTTTTGTTGATATATTAACATTCTAACTGATAATCTCATTATTATTTCTTGATCAATATCATCTATGATGTAAATAAGTGATTAATCAAATTCCAGTACATAGTTGTGGTATGGTTCGTGTGTTTACTCAAGTTTCTATAGTAAATCCCCTCAGTGAGGTAAAGTTAACGAGATGAATACTAAATCAGTTGAATCGTATTTGTATGAATGATGATGCAAAAGAATAAAGAATATAACTCGGAAGGAAGGGATGGACTAAATAGTGTCAAATAATATTGAACCTCATTACAGTACGAAGCTACATGTTGAGTAGATGTATGTCTGTTTGAATAATTCTAAAACATGCTGTCCAGCGTCTTTAGTTACTGATCTCAGTTATTGCACGCACTTCAATCGGGCAGTTTAGATTTATCAACATTTCTCAATCCTTTTTAAGTTAGCTGCCTCTAGCTTTCTTCCAATTTTACCCTTCAGTCAATATCTCTATTCAAAGTAAGGGACAGCCCGGTACATGTTACACATAATACAGACGCTTCAATCGACGCATATTCTCAGTCTTATCAACCGTTTTATTTTGTTCGCCTACATCAAACCTCAATGTCGTTCAGTCGTTTAGTCCACGGTACATGAGGAGTGTTTCGATAACACCTACAAAGAATTTGTTTAAAATGTTGAACTTTTTATCAGTAATATTTGTGTGTTTTTCTTTTTTCCTTATATTCATAGGTGAATCTATTCTAGAAAGTACGATTGGAGTTACTAAAGATAGTGATTTATTTTTGATGGTTGAAGTTGGCAACGAAAAGGAGTAAGAAATTGTCATTATTTTATCTTAGTTTTTTATTTGAACTTATATTATTCGAAAATGAACACTTGAAATGGTTAGCTGCTTGATTCTGATTTGACGATTTAGTAGTAAAATACATTCCTTTTGGTGATGTGAGTAGATACAAGCTGTTAGTTGTACAGTTTTGTCCATTATATCAAGACGGATTGTTCATAGCATTCTCGGTTTAGTTGAATGGATCAATAAACTTTTTTAAAGAAGAAAAAAAAACTAAACTGATAATTTTTTTGAAATTATAAAAAATTTCTTAAGAATTATGTATAAATTGTTGTCTTATAGAGCAATTTTATTTCAGAAACAATCGTTCAATAGTTACAGTATCCAACTTTAAGGACTAGATAGACAGATAGATATCATTAACATAAAGGCCTGACACAGACGTCCGCTTTCACAGATTTCCATATCACATTAGCACAACGAGGTGAAGGTAACAAAAGAGATCGATGTAGTATAAAATCGATGATAAAAAGAAAGACTGAAAATATTATTTAAAACATGGCATGGGAATGTATGTATTAAGAAGTTTGAGAATTCGAAATAGAGAGGAAAAATGGATAGTAAATGCATCTGTACAACTGTGGACGATTTGGAATCGTGTTACCCAGTCCTAAGCCACTGATGACGATCATCGCGCGGACACCGACCAGGTGATATGCATCTATCTACATAGCTCAGACCAACAGTCAATGGCTTTATGGATTATGCCATTATTTGATTTGGCCACCTCTTAACTTCTCCTTACTACCTCAATCGACGAATGGTCATCTAATAGTCTGTATTTCCAACTTGAATCTATTTAGTATGGCATGAAACCAATCGTTCACTTTATTTAAGAACAACCTTAGTTCACTCACTGTTCTGTGTTGATTTACATTGATTGTACTTCGAACCCACACCAATTAAACATATTACAAAATAATCATCCTTTTGATTGAAACTTTGATTGTTTTTACATAAAATTTCAAATTATTGTAAAAGTCTTACAGAATGTTACAGTTTTAAAAGCATTAGGTATCAGTTCTGGAAGGGTTTCAATGGCTTCAAAGTGGTTTGTAGAAGTCATCATGTAAATTACAGTAGTCAAATATTTCTTTACTAAAAATACAATTCACTCTGAAATAACATTCATATGGAAATAATTCATGTTGGGTTATTGAGAAACTTTGGTCAATTCAAATCAGTCAGTCAGTAACAACGTGGAACTTCGTAAGTACGTACATCAGTTCGAGTTGCCATACCATATCAGCACAGAGATGCAGTTATCGATTCAAATCCCATGGTGGTAGAGGTAGTGAAAGTATCAGCACTAATCGGAAACACTAGGGTTTGAAGATGTTATTCAAGGAGTGTAATCCAATGAAATAAATTTGGAAAGAAAAGAGAAGGGACATGAAGAATTCAGAAGATTAGAATTTGGGAGAACAAAGAGTGTATGCAACTGCGCCATTGCAAATGAATTTGAGCCATGTCATTCAGGGTCTCTAACCATCGGTTGCTATCGTCTACACCTACCAACATGGCTCAGTGCACTTGTCAGTGACTTCATGGAATTGTGCAATGTTTTGGCCTGGCCACCCCTAGTTTTCTTCCAACCTATTACTACACCGTAAAACATCGCACGTTGGGGCAGTCGGTGGTTGGGCATACGTAACACGTGTCCCAGCCATCTCAACTGATGAAGTTTCACTACTTCATTAATTGATTTGCCATCCTTACCTAGTGACCTTTTCCTAACAACTGTGTTACTTACTCGATGGTTCCAGGATATACGAGCAATGTTTCGAAGAAACCTATGATCGAATACGGGTAAACTACGATTATCCCCTACTCTTATTGGTCATGTTTCACTGCCATAAAGTAGGACGGAACGAACTGCTGCGCAGTAAACCCGTCCTTTGGTTAATAGACGGATATCTCACCTACGCCATAATTGGCGCAAGTTGGCAAAAGCTAGTCAAGCGTTCTGTATCCGTGCTGAGATTTCGTCACATACCAGAGCACAAGGGCTGATGAGACTTCCAAGATAAGTGAAGCGATCGACACGCTCAATAACTTCACTCCCTATCATTAGTTCGGGTGTCAATGCAACCCAATCCTGAAGCAGCATTTCGAGGGAGAGAATCGCATCCCGAACATGCTTGCATTGTTGCTTATAGTGGTCAGAAGACTCTGCATTTTGTCAATTCATATATATATAATGAATAGATAAACTGATTTGTATCTGTCAACTATTCATTGCCTTACTTAGTATTGGTTGATATTTCTTTAAATCTTATCATCACTTTAGATAAATTAATAAGTAATATGTAAACGTACATATATTCATTTTTTATATTTTCTTTTTGTATCAAGGTGGAATGATTCTAATAACAAATTTCGAATTCATCCACTTTATCAAGTGAAAGAGTTGCCTACATTACTATCATTATCATTTGTAAGTGGAGTTTGTTTCGTATGGCTGATTGTTTTCTTATAGTTTTGATGATGATTTTTATTCAGAATCAATTTATAGGTACATTTTTGTTATATTTTGTTCTTTCTTTTTTGACGGGGGGTGGGTGGAAGAAAGCAAGAGGATGGCTTTCTTTTTGTAATACACTACTTTTAATCAATGATTTTCATCTCCGAACCCCTTGATACAACTACTTTCATTTGGTTTAGGGTCAATCCTAGATACCTGTACTTAAATGCCGGGAAATGAAAATCATATTGCTTCCTCGATATGAAAAGATCCTAGAAGAAATTAAACTTGGTTAGACTACTGGTAAAGTTATAAATATATGATATGAAACTATACCCCCCAAGAGTTATCCTAACACAAACGACTGATTGATGTAACCTTCGTGACAATCGTCATTCATCTTTTCATTGATATTTCGGGGAACCACTTGTAAAGTTTAACTGTCTAAAATATTATTGGAGGCATGTGAACAACTGTTTTCCCCCATTCCACAAAGCTTTTGCGTTCCAAACCTGGAAGTGACTATGTAATGAGATTAGTTACTGATTTTTTGTGAATAGCTCTCTACTAGCTTTTCAGACCTTACTCCCTGTACCAAAAATCCATGTGGTGTGCTGCAGTAAGAGTTGACCTTTTATAACCCTCTTCCTTCTGTTATGGAAAGAGAAGTATTGTTTGAAGGTGCACTATTGTACCGCGGTACAATCAGTCAAGTTTGATCATACTGTGTTCAAATCTAAAGCAGAATGTATGATTTCTTCATACGTTGTTACTTATCCATATTTTATCTGTTGACTGTTTTAATGACCAGTAATGACATAGTATTAGTGTAAACTTTACCTTTCGATGATGTGTTATCGACTATCCTATTTACAATATATTATATCTAACAATTGATTTATTGATTGAGATCATGAACCGATTGATGCTAGACCACCATTAAAAACCTGAAAGCACTGGACGGCCGTTTCGTTCTATTGTGGGGCTCCTCAGCAGTGCGCATCCACGATCCCGCTCGCGGGATTCGAACCCAGGGCCTTCAGTCTCGCGCGCGAACGCGGCCGTCCAGTGTTTCCAGGTTTCCAATGGTTGTCTAACATCAATCGGTTCATGATCTCAATCAAAAACTTAACAATCTCCACAACCCCTAAACTGATAATTGATTTATTGTGATATTCCTTTTTTCTATTTACATAAATTTCAGTTAAACGGACAAAAACATATAGTTAATCGTCTTGATGGTAAATCATGCTTAGATTCAACAAATGTGCAAAATTTATTTGAAGGCAATTGAAATGTGTTTTTCTTTTTCCTGTCCAATAAAAAATATCATCTATCTGTTTTAAACTTGAGTTTCAATGCTATTAGCTTCGTAACTGAATATTTATTTTAAAAATATTTATGAAATTCTGCTTTCATTTCATGGAATATTACCACAACCGCCATGTATGTGTGCGTGTGTTTGTGTCGACGCAGTATTCTGTTGTGTGAATCAAGTCAGTTTACTCTCTTCTTTTTTATTTCGCATTTCTTGTGATTATTTATTTTTGTTCCTGTTCATCAGTGTCTCTCTCTCTGTGTGTGTGTGTGTGAATGTTGTACTCGGTGATATTTCTTTTAATATCCTATTTTTATTATTTTTTTTCTGTGTTCAATTATCCTTGAATTGCTCTGTTACTATTATTGTTTGTTTATTATTTGAACGTTGAAGTATCATTGTTTTACTAATATGTTATCTACCATGCAGTAAGAATTGATGTTAACAATAAACTTTAAACATTCTAAAAAGAAAATGACATGAGTAACTTTTCCGTGGGTTTTTTTTCAAGTAAGTTGTAGCTAATAGTTAAATCTAAGATGAACGTTTCATTATACTTGTGCTTTGTCAACTGAAAGTATTGTATTGGAATGTGAACCTAACACTTTTCGCTTTAACTTGTTATTCACTTACCTTTTGAATTCAAATAGTCGCTAATTTGTTTACTGTTAACTACGAAATTATCCGAACTCTTACTAGTAAAGATGTGATTTAATTAGTCAGTCATAAAAAAAATATAAGATTTGACCACAAATGCATTACTTCAGTTTGCCCTGTTTTACATCAGCAGCAATGAAATCAAAGTAAATGAATTGAAAGTCTTACTTAAATATTTGTGTCGACCAATCCATCTTGTTGTGTTGATGTATGAAACAACTTAGTCCAATGTATGTGCATGATAGGTCCTATATTGCTTATGACTACTGACTGAAATAATACTATTGATTTCATTAAAATTTGCACACAAAGAAAATAGAAATTATCAGTTGTGAGCACATCATCCAATGTGAGATCAAGTTCAGAACAATCAAACCTCGGAGCATTTGCGTTTACTTAGTAGCACTATCTAATTGTTCACGCTTTTCTACCTCCAGTCAGTTTATGACATTTTGCAATAGTTTGAGTTCACCGGTACTCAATGTTTTTCTAGCTATAGTCGGTTTTTGTTTTGTAAACTAAGAACTGAACATTTCACAGGTTTCTTATTTTAATAATACAAGTTACAATTCAAAAAGAATAAATACAAATTGATAAACGTGAAATAGAAAACTCAAGAGGATAAATGAGTACACTTATGCTATTCCATTCTACTTTAAGCTATGTCACTTCAAGATTCTAAGCATAAATCGTATACATTCTATGAACCATAAACAAGGTAGGCTACACACTGATAGTTAATGACTAAATAAACTAATATAAGTTTTTCTGAGACAGTAGCTTAATGATTAAACTCTTTCGATTTACAACCAATAGTTCAGATGGTTGAGCAATGGTTCATTCACTAAGCTTCAGAAAGCCGGGTTGTTTTCAAGATTCCTTCAGCTACTATGAAATGATAAAGAATTATTAGTTCAGTAATCCAATAGAAAGTGCATTATTACATAATTATTTCACTACTATATCAACTAGGGAGAATAACTTACATGTTGATATGGTATATATGTAGATATTTTTTATCTAAAAGCTTACTAACACTGGCATCACATGTCTGTTTCAAAGGTTATGGAAGGCAATGACGTCAAAAAATGAAGTAAAGATGGTCATAATTTTAATTCGTCATTCACATCAATAATTTTATCAAAACCAATTATGTAAGAATATCTTGCCCACTGTATTGTTTTATGTTCATGAAAGTGTCTTTTCTTACCCGTTCTTACCTGTTGCTCCCAAAGGATTCTATTGTTTGATTGTCTGTTTCCGATTAATATTTACTTATACTACTATTATCCAGACAGTTTCAAATAAATAATTACTTCATGTTAGAACTGAGTGATGCTCTTTGAGAGTAAATTAAGACAAAATTATATCTGGAGAAAATACCAATGTTATGCTAAAATCAGCTTTTCTTTGTAGACAGATTCCCACTTATCGCCTTTCCTACATTATTATTTCATAATGTTAACAATTCATAATAAACAAATCTGAAGAGAGTGAGAATCACAATATGAATCAAGAACAACGTAGTGATTCATGATATTTCATTAAATTACCATCAGTTGTACATATTGTTCGAATCCCGTGTCCTGAGTCATGAGTGTGCGCTACTGAGGATTCCTTCATTACAACAAATCTTCCGTCAAGTGCTCGTAGGTTTATAATGGTGTTCTAGTCAAAATCATTTAGTTTGTGATAATGTAGTGGCTTTGTTTCTTTAATCGATAACCGTTAAAATAAAAATATCAACGGTGTTTAAAATTAGAAGTCAATGAGAAGTGGCAACTACAGTTTATTGGCGGATAGCACAGATCACGAAGCTATAAGCACATCGAAGGAATTTAAAACTGAGGGACGAATAAGTATGTGCAAGCAATTACGTGGGCAAATTTATGGTCAAATTGCATAAGGGCAAAGTAAAGGCTAATAATAATATTTGAACTGGCGCGCGTTTCAAAAAGGGCAGTGACTTTGTACTTGTGATTATCCTTGCTTTTGTGTAACTGTTGCATCAAAAGCATTTTTGGTCTACTTTATATTTAAGCACTTAAATTAAGGTTTGAAATCTCGCTAAAGTTTGTCTTGTGGTACCCTCTTACTCACTGACTGACACTTTATTCATAATGTCTTAAACCTTGATCTGATTACGATGGTTGGTAGTACTTATAAATGTGGACAGCCAAAATGTTTGTTCGGCGTGGAGGAAGGAATGCAGTTTAATGAGTGCAAAAGGTGATACAATAAGATGTGTACCCGTTTAATTCCCACCGCATACAAAAGATGTTCGAAGCCTTACTCGCACTGGCTTTGCATGTTTGACCTTGCGAACAAGACGTTACTAATCCAGGAGGCCATGAGCTTATTGGCTTGGCCTGTAAGAAGAACGGTGGCGGTTGCACTGACAGTGAAGAACGTGTCAGTGTAGTACGTGCTGTTACGAGGCGCCTCAAACATCCGACTGTGACTCAGGGTAAAGTGAAATATCCGTTAACATTAACGGGGAGGGAAGTGCCAGCTGACGTTGATGTTGGTAATCATGTACCTCTAGTGGGAATTAAAGACCTGGATAAAAACGTCCGCGTTCCAAATTTCAACGGTCTCCTGAGTGAAGAAAAGTGGACTACAGTTCAGAGAAAAAGGAACGAAAAGAAAAAAGCTGTAGCAGTCTGCAGCTGGTTAGCAAGTCATTGGTGGACTGCCATTGTGAGTCACAATATGCACTACCGAAGTCTGATAGTAGTAGGATTTCCACCATGGCATGACTGAGAAGGAGTATCTAATCTCATGAAATATCATTGTGAGTAAATTGCTGGAGTCAAACGACTCTGGTCCAAAACTAGACATGCGCATGATTTAAGGAAGCTGGGAGAATATATTTGTAGTATATTACCAGAAAACTCTAAGGGACTTCAGGTCAAAAAATTGGTTAGAGTAGGTAAGAGGATTGAGGACTCTTTAGGATAATCCTAGGATCGGAGAAGCAACGGGGTCTCCGGTTAAGTAACGCTCGTTGTCACGATAATTCCGACATACGGGTTAGACCTGATATGTCTCTCGAATAGAATAGGCCGTTCTACTTAGTAGTTTTGTTTGCCAATGCTCGTAGTCTAAGAAATAAGCTCTATGAACTAAAAACATTGGTGGACAGGTTAAAGCCACTCATCGCAGCAGTGACAGAAACTTGGTTAGTCCATGACTTTGGCATTACACCAGAATTATTCAGATAGACATAGATGTAGAAAAGGAGGTGGCGTCCTGTTATACATGGCCAACAATATAAATATCCGCTCCTCTGCTAGAGAATCGCATGATAGCGGTACTTGTGAAATCATTAGCTGTAAATTGGCTATCGGATGTAGTACATTTATGCTCGGTGTCATCTATCGCAGCCCGATCTGCTTAGCTGATGACTTTAGTTTAGGGTACATTCATCTTTGGAGTGCAAATACCAGATGCTTGATAATAGGAAACTTTAATGCACCTGATATTAGATGGACTGGGATGACCACAGAAGGATCTATAAACTCCCTTGATAGTAGGTTCGTGATAACAATAATGGAGCATGCACTAGTGCAGCATGTATCCAAACCCACACGTTTTGGTGTTAACCAAGGTTCTTCTCTGTTGGACTTGGTAATCATTCATGTGACCTAAATATTCTTCCATCGTTAGTGAATAGCGATCACGCTGTTTTGTCATTCGCGTTTAGAACTAGGGACATGTTATACGATCGGGTTACTCCTCGCCCAAATGTATGGAAAGCTAACGTATCAGCCATTCAGTTATGCGCTGCTAAGACAGACTGGTTGGTAGATACTGGCATATCAGTTGAAGAAGCATGGTCTGTATTTAAAGGTAAGTTTAGTCTGGTTACGTCCCCGTTCATACCATATCTGGTGCCACGAAGACCGAATAACAGTCCACCATGGATAACTAAACCAGTAAGGAAACTTCTTAGGAAAAGGAAGAAACACTGGAATATGTTCATCTCTACTGACTATCATATGAAAAACAATTGGTTAAGGATTCTAGATATAGTCCGAAACGGTAATTCTCGTATATAAAAAGGCGAACTCAGAGAGGCGATGGAATTCCATCACTTTCGATAAAAGAATATCCGTTCTTCTTGGTAAGAAATTATGCCGAACTAGCCGAAGCTTTATCGGAATATTTCAGTAAATTGTTTTCTGTCACTGATGAATAATGACCAACGATTCATTGTGATTGTGGCGGCGCGCTGATGGATCCTGTAGTCATTAAGAAAGGTACTGTTTTAAGGCTACTTTAGCATCTCAAACCTGATAAGTCCAGTGGTCCTGATG